TATATATATATATATATATATTGCAACATTGCATTTTTTTTAAAATCCCGACTTGATTCAAAGTCAATTTTGTAGATGACAAATTAGATTGTAAATGACAAGTTGATATTAATTGTTCAGAGTGGAAAACAATCTTACCTGCCCCGGGAATAATTGCAAGTTTAGTCTCAACAAGTCCCATTTTTGCAGAATTTGCTGGAAAAGATAGGGCCATCATCAACTTTTGAAAATCCCACATAAAATAAAGAACAAATGAAAGGAACAAAACAAAATAAGTACATCAGTATATTGGTACCGGTACAAGCAATGCTATATATATATTTTTTTATCAGTCCACCATCTTGAATATAGAGATGCTGAGTTTCCAATCCAAGGAAAGGAATTGTTTTGAGTCTAATTTAATTTATTTCACACACAAAAAAAAAAACTCAACCAAAAAAAAACAAAAACAAAAAAACAACACAATGACAACTAAAGATACACACCACTCCAATGTTTACCAACAGACATCGGGCTTTTTCTCCTGTATGCTGCTTTAAAATTATCTTAAACCAATTAGTGTCGAAGCAGCCTTATAATGAACAGCCTACTGGCTCCGGGTGAAGCGGTACGCAAAATGGCTGAAATCAATCACAAAAACAAACCAAAAAACTCATACAACTGAAAAATATTAAGATGTGTGCATTGAACAACAAAATAAATACAAAATCAAAAAAAAAAAAAAAAAACAACCACTTGGTGTTATACCAAACCAAAGTTAAAAGAATCTTACAGGCAACTCTGATGTCACATGCCAGAGCCATTTCCAAGCCTCCTCCTAAGGCAGCTCCATCAAGGGCAGCTATTGTTGGCATTGGTAGGTTACCTATTGGTAGAAATACATTTCAGCAGAACCGCAAGTACAATTATTTGGCATTTCAGGAAATGATTCCCTCATTGTGCAACAGAATCGATTGAATTGATGAATTTGGGACGGGGAACAAGATAACATCCACACCCCAAAAAATAAAACGTCTTCATGTTTACCCAGTTCAGTGATGAGCGCTCTTGCTTTGGACACAAATGGTCCCACCTCACTCTGATGCATCTTGGCTCTCTCCTTAAGGTCTGCTCCTGCACACAGGACAAAGCATCCTCATATCAGGCTCGAGGCCTTTTGAAACACTGCGTTTTATTGCAGGAGCTGTGGCAACTTAAATGCGTGTGTATGCACTTAGAAAAGTAGATCTGCATATTGTATTTTGAATGTTTTGATCAAACCTGACCTTATATATGGCTAGGTAATAAATAGATTAATTTCAATTTATAGAGCAGAATGATCAAAGTGTAATTTTTTTTAACTTATTCCGTACCAGCCAATTCTGGACCAAGTCTGAAAAGACGTTTAAAAACGTCTTTCGGAGTGAATGAATTAAGTGGCTTGTGTACTTCAAAGCATATCTTCGCCGATAATTCCCCAAAAGGAAAACGGCACTCCCGTCTGGTATAACAAGCACAAGTAGCCAACAAAGACATAAAATAACTCCCCATCGACTTGGTTGAGGTTATTTCCATTGCTGTAGAAAAATTAATGGCTTTCAATTTCAATTCTGTCCCCACTTTTCCCGGCTGCACTGCTGTGTTTGGTGTGCATCTGCTAACGTCCAGATGACGGCAAATACACGCACAAAAACAAAACAAAAAAAAAAAAGTGTCAGACTGGAGCACTGCACAGAATTCTTAAACCTTGCATTCATTCATTCATTTATTTGACAAATGGACAAAAGGAAACCGACACCAAGACTTACCTGCACAGAAAATACCAGGAACTAAACTGCAAAGAATTACACTGCGGACTTTGTTATTCTTTTTTATGTCCCCCACAGCCTCGGACATCTGAAAGAAATGTTTTCGGAATTTAAAGGCAACACATTCAACATGGCATGTACAGCAGACCATGAAAAAGAATTTGCCTTCTCAAATTCTAATTTGTTTGCATCGTTTGAGCACGGTATTGTTTGAGATAGCAGACATATGTTAATATCAGACAAACATAACCCAAGTAAACATAAAATGCTGTTTTGAATTTATTCAGGGAAAAAAAAACGCAATTCAAAGTTACCTAGCTCTGTTTGAAAAACGACATCCCCTTAAACCCAATAGCTAGTTGGAGCCGCCTTCAGCAGCTACAACTGAAATCAAGCTTTTCAACGGGCAGTGAGTCTTTCACTTTGCCTATTCTTGCTTGCAGAATTGTTTTAATTCAGCAAAACTGGAGTGTTTTTTGAGCATGACCGGCCTTTTTAAGGGTCATACCACATCATCGGATTTATGTCTGGACGTTGGACTGACTGACAAACTCGCGGAGCAGAGAAATTTACTGACAGAAGCGCGGTTAAAATAACGCGACAGTTTGACTGACTGCCGATTTCTGTTTGTTTCGGCTTGGGAGGGGTGGGGGGCGTGGGGGGGAATTAATGATAGATTGACGATGACAGATGAGTAACCAGACCGCTGACGGATGCTGAATGACGGACCGAAAACATTTTGTAAAATGCCCACCTTCTGAACAACACAGCCTGGTTACAAAACGCGAGAAGAAGAGCACAAATCCTTCTGCTCCTGTATGACAAGCGCTTCCAATGACCCTCCCTTAAGCAGCTTCCCTTTTTTTAGGGGCCATTTTGATTGTTTAGAACTTTAATTACATCTTTGGAAAAAGTTCAAGGTGTCTGTCAAGTTGTCAAGTGTCAACACGGGACCGACTTCCACATTCATTCACCACAGCCACTTCTGGCAGCAGCGACTGGGTGAATAGATTGGATGTTTGTGATAACAAAGTTGACAAAAATTCCAAACTATTTATTTTAAATAAATGTCTGCCTGTCAATGTTTTCAAACATGCAGTGTCAAATTACCAAATTTCCCCCAAGAGTGAGCAGCTGATTTTTAATTGACAATAAAGTTGACTTGAACTTGACACAGTTGTCTATCAGTCCAAATGCTTGGCAAAGGGAGAAGTTTGATACATGATGCGCATTGATAAGACAACAGCGAATTTTCACTTTGTTTTAAAACAAGATGCGAATGTCTCACATTCGTAGTGTAATTATATTCTCAGTCCTGCCAGTCCATGAGCGGTTAGAGGCGACACTAATTGTTCCTTTCTTGGAGGGTTAGGGTTAGTAGAGCGCAATAAAAATCTGTGTATAAACTCATTCCTGACCGATGTTTTAATTTACAAGAGCAATAGTATTAATTGTTCAAAAAGGATTGGATATGGATTGATGCAAAATGCTGTCAGGTTGGCAAGCACAGGAATTTGCGGACAATTGATACTGTAAATTCAAGGGGCAAATAAACAGTACATACCATTTTGACCAGATTTTTGCTGATAGCATTCTTGGCTTTTGGTCGGTTTATCCCAACAACCACTATACCTGAAACACAAGGTTAAATTACAATACAAAAAAAAAAAGAAAATCTGTTACAGACACACGACAGAAACTTGCCAACACAAAGTACAACTAGCTACTAAAATCAAGCAATAAGGTCACGAACATCAATGTAAAACCCACTCAAAAAAGTACATATGATACTGTTGGACCATTAACAAACACATTTTTTAAGTTTACTACTGGGATATAAATGTAAACTGAATTCACACCCGTGGGCGAATTTACGGGAATCATTCTCTATACAGTATTGGTGTGAAATGATGATCCTCTCAAATGAAAATGAGGGACATTTCCCCATGCTATCAAAGGTAGCAAAATCTTTTCTGTGCATCCCTGCAACCTCCAACACATCGGAGTGGATCTTCTCTGCAGGAGGGAACATCTGCTCTCAAAAGTGAGAAAACCTTTCGGCCAGAACATTTAGAAATGCTAACTTTCCTGACAATGAACAACAGAGCGCTGTAGATTAGGATTAGAGGTGGAATGTAGTACAAATTGTGAGCATTTAGAACAAAATGCCATTTTTTTATTGTCTTTTATTGAGACGAAAATTGACATTTTTGTGGAGAATTTATTTTTCGGTTTCGATGCTTACCTCATTTGGTTTTGTAATATTATTTAATACTTTTAAGATGTGTTCAATTTTGTTTTCCAAATGAACTTGGTTGGTAGCACAGTTTTGTAAATGTAAAAATATATATTGTATAAGGGCATTAAAGGCCATTGAAATTAAACTATACGCATGTATATTTTTATATATGATATTTGGTATTCATAACGGTAATTGGTGTGTTTACACTTGTAACTATGCATAGTTTTATTGTTCTATTTTTAAACGCACATTTGTTATAAATGTTCAAGGCAACAGTACTTCACTGAAAGTTCAAATATTGTACTATCAGCATAACTGTCTTCGTTTTTAGATTGACCAAGGAATGCTGGTACAAGCACATTTGTTATAAATATTAAAGGGAACGGTACTTCACTAAAAGTTCAAATACCGTACATGTATTGTACTATCAGCATAAGTGTCTTTGTTTTTAGATTGCCCAAGGAATGCTGGGAACAAGCTGCAAGTTTAAGAAAAATTGAACGTACTATCGTAATTCTCTTTATTATTAATTTTTACATACCTGAAAGAATTCAAACTGTCAGGTACTTGTTATATAAAAGCAGCTGCTTGCTGGTGCAGTACACTGTGATTTGCATTCCATCACCTTCTTAAAGTAATGGCTTAAATAATTAAAAAAAAAAGCCTTAATCATCGGCTCCATCCAATGTACAGATCATTTCTACCCCTGAAATTAAATTATTAATACATATCAGAATGTGGTTATTTTAAAAAAAAAAGTTTTTTGGGGGAAAAAAAACAGGTAGTTATTTTAGGACACTGATGTCATGATTCGATTAGTCGATTTATTTTGATTACTGTTTGTTATTAGCCGACGCTCAAAATAATCATTTGTGGCAGCCCTATTTACAAGACATTTGATATTCACTTTACAGTGACCAGTGACTTTAACTGCATCACTTTGGTAAACTACATAAATAAAGGCAAAATGAACTATATATTAAAAACAAACCAAATTTGAACAACTCAGCTTTTAAATATTTTATTTCAAGTAATATAAGAAAATATAATATAAGAAAATGCCATGAATAGGTAGACTCAGTTACAGATGCTTGATAATTATTTAGTAATATTGCACAAGGTGCCTTAACTTCTAACTGCTAGTAAAATCTTTGTCCAATAAGTTACCAGCACTTTCACTGAAGCATCGTCAGGATCCAGCCACTATAGTTTCACGACAGGCTGAACTCCGTCTTTGCCGGCGTTTATGCAACAACTGTGCAAGCACCGCATACGGATGTTCGCTCAACCTTTCACGGTTGCAACTGAAATTTGAACAAAACAACACAACACAACATACCGTGATCTTCTCCGTCAAGGTACCTCACGATCAAGTCGTCCTTTGCCTCCGAACTGTACTGTCGTGCCGATGCGCCAAAACGGACCGGAGGAAAAACTGATTTAGCGGAACCGACATACCGTCTTGAAGCGAAGTAAGACGAGCCTAGCTTGGAGGCGCAATGACTGTCTGTAAAATGCACTCGGCAGGCTTGCAAAAGCGCCCTGCGTCCAACCAGGGCCGCCATACTTACGATGCGTACCGTGTGACTTTCAACTCTGACCTGAGTCACGTGACATAGTCACGTGACACTGCCATCTCAGTTCACAGAAAAGATACTGAACGAGAGTTTTAAATGTCAAAAACATGATAAGATATGAAACTAACTGGGCCAATCCAGACAGTTATCATTGAAAAGCAAGCATATTTTAATTATAGTATAATATGTTATATTATTCTAAATGAAAACATATTTTTATATTTAATAATAATTAAAAAGGCTTTGGGGCAAGTAGGGCAAGTATGGAGACGCACGCAACAAAAAACACAAAACTTCTTATATGATCAATTAATACAGTATTTCACGCGTCGTCATTTGCGGCAGTAAAATATGTTTTCTAGAATTAATTTGATAACTAAATTACATTAAATGTATGTGTAATAACTTTGAAAAAGATTTAAAAAATAATACAGCCGGCTGTCATCATACATTAAGCAGGTCACTAGACAACTGTCACGTGTGTTATCTTTGGACGCGACTGCATATTTGATATAGCCACCCATCTTCGCCAAATGGAATGCCTCTACCATTGAAGCTGAAAGAATGAAGCCATATCATTTCCAGCCAACATTTTGAAATAAGTCTACTGAGTGGAACTCCAATGTCGATGTAAAAGATACAGCTCCGAATGGTCTTTTAATGGCACAAAATACACTTTGGAGAAAGAATGGTACCAGCATTATGGACAAAACACCCATAACCCGGCTGGCGCTGGCAATGGCAGAAGGTTCTAGAGAAAGCATATTTTCCCTCGAGCAGTTAAACTCATTTCCCACCTCTTGCTTGTTAAATATACTCGGCACAGCATTTGTTTTTAAAGTTGCTGTCTCCTCTCCAGCTGGGTATCACACGAGTGAAATTGGCCCCCACCCCACACAAAAACTGGATGAAATAGTCTGTTACATTTCTGCTTCATTTATTCTGGTAGTGCTGTTCCTGTTTTTTTTTTTTAGTTATTAGAGATACTATTTTTTTCTTTAGGTCATCCAGAGCTGCAGATGAGCTCATTGTAATAAGATGTTCTTACTACAACTAATCAAGTGGAATTTTGCTTATCTGTAGGACTGCAATTTTGGAATCAGTATGCCAATTTTAGTTTTAATCAGCATTAAAATCTAAGATTTGTTTTCCCCAAATGTTCCCCAGGGTAAATATAACTGTAGGATCCTTTGTGACATATATTCTTTATTCTCAGCAAAGAACAATAGTTTTGTTTTTGTCAAGGATTTGAGTGACGTCTTCTGTGGCTCCGTGTATGTCTGTATTATTATTCCCCTCGGTGGCCAAGATGTGCAGACCACAAGGAACAATTTAATGGCCATTGAATTGAAGCAAAAAGTGTGACAAATCATTTAATTCATTACAGTCACTACCATATGTTCTTATGAAGTACAATATTTTAGAGCGCCATTTTCCTCATTAAAATACACCCAGCAATTTTTTTGGGGGGGCGGGGGGGGGGGCTGAAATGGATACAGCAGGAATGGAAATGTGATTTAAGATATGAGTTTTGCTTTACGAGCATGGTCACAGAACAAATTAAGCTAATATATCAAGGCAAGGGAGTTCTTTCTTTTTTTTTTTAAATAGCCAGTGTTGATGTTGTAGTGACTGGTTTACACTTAAAACGCTATACCAATTGGAAAGTTAGTCCTAGAAACAACAGTGTTTAATTAATTTATGTTAGAAGGTGGCACCAAAGCAACCACATTAGAACATAAAAAAACAGAACTTTTCTTTAAAGAGATGGAATACAAAATCAGTGCAATGAATTTATTCCTCATACATTTTTTTTTTTAATCACATTAAGGTATTTTGAGCTGAAGTGCTGTACACAATCTGTATAAAATGTCACAATCCTGTCAAATCTCAGATTGGAAATGTGGCTACCAATTTATTAAAGTGCTAAATACTTTACCCTCTTGTCCAAAATCTTACATTACCTGATAAACATTCCAAGCAGAGGTTTACATACTGTTATGAGTGTCTTCAAACAAAACAAATCCAGCCAAATATTTTCGAACATACAATGGCCGCATCACATTAATCATAATCACCTTTATGAATTCTAGCGTTAAGGCAAACCGGCCAGTCCAAAACTTGGGCAACATTTGCCAAACTGCCATCGGTTGTGGTAGCAGGAATACAACTTTTACCTATTCTTAAAATCTAAAGGAGAATGGTGGTTAAAAGGACGATGACAATGACAGGAGCAACAGGTTATATACGTGCTACAAAGAAAATTAAAGCGCCATACATTCACTGTACATATTCCAAATGATAACGCATACAAGAGACATTTTGAGTTTTTCCTGCTGAAGCACATTAAGTCTTTCTAGATCCATTACTGATATCGTCATCAGACAAGTTCGATCATTTCTTTTCCCAACTAAAAATAAGCTAAAGAAAATGACATAAGAGCATTGAAACTTAAGTTACAGTTCTTAATGCGTAATGAGGGCAAACGGCTATTCTGCTGAAGAGACTTGTGGAGTAGCCCACTGCCTTGCAAAAAGTAACGAGACTACTGGAGATTTCAACATCACCACAGACTGTTAATTTGTTTGCGACAAACAGGTAACATGGAGACTTTCTCAGAGCATTGAATTTTTCGCCATAAGTGATCCATTAAATACCATGAGAATGAAATGACCTAGATAAACGATAATATTAACAGACATACTGTATCCGGAGACTACTTTTCAAACAGTTTTTTAAAACTGATGAATTCTATGCTACTTTGTATGATCCCGATGAATGGAATTCTTTGAAGGTGACCATATCCAAACAAGGTTGCAGTGTCAGCAAGGACTCGGCGGAGTGAATTTCAAGATGGGAGTAACATGGTTGGCCACTTATGTGGCCTCACGTAGTCAAACTGACCGAGGAATTTTCTGCCACGGTCATTCATGCAAAACAATTCACTCTATACCACACGGTATGTCAAGGGATAAAATTCATGGTGTGGACACCATCATGCCCCGACCTCAACCCTATTGAGAACCTGTGAAACCAATCCCAAAACGATCTATGAGAGTGGACAGCAGTATCCCTCCAAACAGAAGCTTTTTCTATCCTCCTTTGGGACTTAGGAGACAGACAGATACCCTCTATGGACTCCAAAGTTCAATGGATGAGAGAGTTGCTTGGGTGAGATTGAAGAGGGTTTAAGTTAACATGAACGTTGGTCAGTGAAGATGTTTTGGGGTGAAATATCATTCATGCATGTTTTTTTTTTTTTTTTTAAATTACAGTCATGACAGAAATGACATTTCTTTCACCCATTTCATTTGTGGTAACTGCATAGTCATTTGGAACACTATTTTGAGTACCTTTACAATACAAACATTGTTTTTACCATGGTTGTTTTGTTCGATAAAATCCTAATTATTACCAAACAATATAATTTGTAAGTGACCTCAAAACATGATTCAGTGTAAACTGCATTGACGATATAGGAAAATTACAAAATCAGCATCTATAGAACATGTTACACAAACAGGTGGCAATCCAACACATTTGAACATTTCTTTTGCAATTTTTAAATAACCACAGTTTTATTACAGACAGAATTGCATCTCTCATTTGTGACCATTTTTGTGAAAACGTGAGCCCGTTGTGAAACAGTTTTTCATTTCCAAAGTTTGAGTGCAGTGGGTTCAACAATGCATTGAAAGGTGACCCCCCCCCCCCACAAAAAATAACTTAATATTTCTGAAAAGGACAATTTTTCATAATTTTCAGTTCTGTAGTTTTACGTGAACAACTATATACTGTGAGAGCAACGGAGGAAAACAGACACAGTTGGTAATGATGAGTAAAAAAAAAAACACAAAAAACAATTTAAGAATTAACTTTTCAGTCCAATCAGCAATGTGAAATTATATTTGCATTTCTATTTTAAATAGGAGATAATCTTCCTAAACATGAGGCTTTGTTTTTGTGCTTACCAAATTACCACTGTATACTAGAATTTCAAAATCTTTTATTTTGAAAATATACAGTGACCAAGAAGTTGCTCCAAAGCCAAACAATAACCACACAAGTGTAATACCAAATAAGTGAAGATGCAAATCATCTGAGGGTTCTTCAGGCAGGCGAGCTATCAAGAGGGACTCATTGTGATGAGCGGATGCTTCACTTGGTTTCATTCCAGCCCCTTGCCGTGACGTGCTGTGTTTGTTCAGAGGGGCCACTTTTGCGCTCCTCTCCGTCCGAGTGTGCATAGGATGGCTGGTTTACATCCACAGTCGGGAAGTCTGAGATGTTATGGTTTTGCCTGCTACTCAAGCAGCTGTGCTGAAGTGTTTTTGTGCTGCTTTTATTCCACTGCTCCGACGGCTGGGTCCAGTCCTGCATGGCAGTGACCTGTTCTGACAAAGGGCACGGCAAGGACTGAGAGCACTCCGAAGTGTCCCAGGAGGCCTGGAAGCATCCGTTGACCGGTGAGGAGAACTTTCCCGACGAGTCGTACTCTGGGTCGATGGCTTCGACTTTGATTTGGATGGTTTTGGCTTTGATTCGCAGTTTATGAGGCAGCGCTGAAGAACTGGCCTCGGGCACTTTGTGTGTGGATACAATAACGCTTCTTGGGTCAGCCGCTGATGGCGTCAACCCTTTGGGGACCTGCTGCTCATCTTCGCCATCTGATGATTTGCTCACAGCACCGTCATCTGAGCTCCTGGGAGAGTTACTGGATGACCTGGTGATCTGTAAGAACTGAGCTGGTTGGGTGTAGACTCTCGACATCGGGCTGGCCATGTAGTTCCTAAAGAGTTCATAGGGACTACTTCTCTCTGGTGGAAAGGTGCCATTCTCCGCTGGTTCCCGTTTGACCTCTGTGGTTCTGGGTATATTTAAACTATCCTGAGTTGGAGCACATGCCTTGGATATATTTGGTGAATGTTTGATGACGGAAATGCAACTACTGCGCAGGTGATGAGGCTCCGTTTCCTTGCTCGAGGAGCCTTGGTCGGCACTGGCTGTGACGAATTGCTGATATAGACGGGCACTCTTGTGGCTCGATAACTTCTCAAGTTCTTGGGTGTATGCTGCTGGGCTTAAAAGGCCAAACTTTTGTTTCAGTGACAACAGTTCGGCTTTGAGGGAGGCGTTTTCCTCTCCCAGGGCCATCAGCTTGTTCTCGAGCACCATGTCATTTATACGGCGCTTCTCCCTTGAGCGTTTCGCCGCTTCATTGTTTTTGCGGCGCCTCTCCCAATAAATGGTGTCTTTCTTCTCCTCTGGGATAAACTCCCTTTTCCTGCGACAGGTAGTTTTAGCGATGAAGGGTAAAGCAGAGACATTACCTATCAGGTCCCGGTTTGCCCCTTGTAAGGCCACAGCCAGTAGCAGGGCATCATCTCCACTATAGGGCTCACCGGAGTCAATTTCTTGCTTAACTGACTGCATATTTGTGACGGTAACCTCTGAAGTATTTAACTGTTCCTCATCATGCTTTCACGTACTAATGATATCTTCCACAAGGGACAATCCACTGCTCATCACAAAATCTGTGGGATTACAGAAAGAGGGTCATGCATTAATTTCCATTCAAAAATTACAGGGGAAACATGTCTGAAAAACCTTTTCCATTTTCGTACAAAGGACTTTTCACGAGTCCTGGCATGTTAAATACTGATGCACAACATTCAGTAGGGTGTGTGTGTGTGTGTGTATATATACACACACACACACACACAA